ATGGTACACTAGGTGTTATGGTACACTAGGTGTATGGTACACTAGGGGGGTGGTACACAATTAGGGGGTGTTATGGTACACTAGGGGGTGTTAGTGGTACACTAGGAGGGTGTTATGGTACACTAGAGGGTGTTAGGTAGCAATAAAGGGGGGTGTTATGGGTACACTAGGGGTGTTATGGTACACTAGGGGGTGTTATGGCACTACTAGGGGTTATGGTACACTAGGGGTTATGGTACACTAGTGTTGGTAACACTAGGAGGGTGTTATGGCACACTAGGGGTGTTATGGTACACTAGGGGGTGTTATGGTACAAGGGGGTGTTATGGTGGTACACTAGGAGTGTTGCACAGGGGGTTATGGTACACTAGGTAAGCAGGCACACTAGGTTATTATGGTACTGGGGGGTATCTCACCTTCACAAAAATCGTTCATATAGTCTCAAAAAACGTTCATATAGCCTCAAAAAACGTTCATATAGCCTCAAAAAGCGTTCACATAGCCTCAAAAACGTTATTACACCACCACAAAAAAACGTTGCAATAAAACAGGAATTTGTATAGAAGGGCGGGAGAGAGGAGGAGGAGGAGGTGGGTAAGAGAGGGTGGTATGGAGGGAGAGAGAACCTGTCTGACTCTAACACTAAAATGTCACCGGCAAAATACACAAGGCAATATCAATAAGTGTCTCAACCTGACCAGTTAAAAGACGGAACAATTATTATACCAGAGGGGGAAGGAGGTGGTGACAACAGTGGTCTATTTATATAAGTATTGTCCACCCCAAAAAAGTCAGTCATATCTATTGTAAGATTATATATTGTAAAATTAAATATTGTAATTATCTGTCATGGAAATTCAGGTGTAAGGGAAGTGGTTTTTCTTTAATGTTCGGTCAATTGTGGACTGTGGGTGTAGTAATGGATGCTAGGGTGAGCGATAGTGAACCATGGATTGTGGGGAATGGTTATTTAATTGTGTTGTATGTAGGGGTAGTTGAGAGTAATGTCTGTTATTATCAATAGAAGAGATTTGATCGGGGGAATGGAGGGAGACTAGTAGTAGTAGTAGTAGTAGTAGTAGTAGTAGTAGTAGTAGTAGTAGTAGTAGTAGTGGTGGTGGCATAGAACTAAAACACTCACTTTCACACTTGTTGATATAATAGTATAATGATGATGATAATAATAATAATAATAATAATAATAATAATAATAATAATAATAATAATAATAATAAACTCCCTGGTTGAAATCTTGATTAAATCTTTAACTAGCGCGTAATTGAATCTCTCTGTGTATCAAATTTAAATTAACCAATGAAAATAATCGTAGACGTTATATCTTAAAACGACTACTGCTAATTTATTTATCAACAGCCTCCCTCTCCCGTCTCCCTTTTCCCTCCCCTCTCTCTCTCTCTCCCCTGCCCCTCCTCCCCCGACACACCGAAATTGAATTCAAACACCATAGAAAGTGACATATAAATAATTATTATAATCCCCGAAGGAAATAATGATCGTTGGAAGGTCAGGTAAACTTTAAAAATGTATTTATCTGGTGAAAATAATGGTGTTTGGGTGTACCAGCTGACCGCCTGGCCCGCGCTGACTCAAATGGAAATATGAGTCAGCTGCTCTTCGTTAAATTGGCTGAATATCAATTATTTATTATTATCATTGTTTATTATTATTAATGTCTTGAGCCATTAGTGAACGGGTGCATCAAGTGTACCTATTGGCAGGTTGAGAAAGAAGATACTCAATCTTATCTTTAGGCTAGCTGGAACATCGACCTTGGAGACGAGCCTGCAGAAGTGTCTACCCGGCTGCTACTCCCTTCCCCTCTTCCTCCGTCTGTAGGTGTTGACAGATTTGATGTTGTTAAGAGTATAAGGTGTTGACAGAGTTGATGTTGTTAAGAGTATAAGGTGTTGACAGATTTGATGTTGTTAAGAGTATAAGGTGTTGACAGAGTTGATGTTGTTAAGAGTATAAGGTGTTGACAGAGTTGATGTTGTTAAGAGTATAAGGTGTTGACAGAGATAAGAGTATTGTTGACAGAGTTGATGTTGTTAAGAGTATAAGGTGTTGACAGAGTTGATGTTGTTAAGAGTATAAGGTGTTGACAGAGTTGATGTTGTTAAGAGTATAAGGTGTTGACAGAGTTGATGTTGTTTAGAGTATAAGGTGTTGACAGATATGATGTTGTTAAGAGTATAAGGTGTTGACAGAGTTGATGTTAAGAGTATAAGGTGTTGACAGAGTTGATGTTGTTAAGAGTATTAGGTGTTGACAGAGTTGATGTTGTTAAGAGTATAAGGTGTTGACAGAGTTGACAGAGTGTGATGTTAAGAGTATAAGGTGTTGACAGAGTTGATGTTGTTAAGAGTATTAGGTGTTGACAGAGTTGATGTTGTTAAGAGTATAAGGTGTTGACAGAGTTGATGTTGTTTAGAGTATAAGGTGTTGACAGATATGATGTTGTTAAGAGTATAAGGTGTTGACAGAGTTGATGTTAAGAGTATAAGGTGTTGACAGAGTTGATGTTGTTAAGAGTATTAGGTGTTGACAGAGTTGATGTTGTTAAGAGTATAAGGTGTTGACAGAGTTGATGTTGTTGTGTTGACAGAGTTGATGTTGAGTATAAGGTGTTGACAGAGTTGATGTTGTTTAGAGTATAAGGTGTTGACAGATATGATGTTGTTAAGAGTATAAGGTGTTGACAGAGTTGATGTTGTTAAGAGTATAAGGTGTTGACAGAGTTGATGTTGTTAAGAGTATAAGGTGTTGACAGATATGATGTTAAGAGTATAAGGTGTTGACAGAGTTGATGTTAAGAGTATAAGGTGTTGACAGAGTTGATGTTGTTAAGAGTATAAGGTGTTGACAGAGTTGATGTTGTTAAGAGTATTAGGTGTTGACAGATATGATGTTAAGAGTATAAGGTGTTGACAGAGTTGATGCTGTTAAGAGTATAAGGTGTTGACAGAGTTGATGTTGTTAAGAGTATAAGGTGTTGACAGTTGATGTTGTTAAGAGTATAAGGTGTTGACAGAGTTGATGTTGTTAAGAGTATAAGGTGTTGACAGATATGATGTTAAGAGTATAAGGTGTTGAGAGTTGATGTTGTTAAGAGTATAAGGTGTTGACAGAGTTGATGTTAAGAGTATAAGGTGTTGACAGGGTTGATGTTGTTAAGAGTATAAGGTGTTGACAGATATGATGTTGTTAAGAGTATTAGGTGTTGACAGGGTTGATGTTGTTAAGAGTATAAGGTGTTGACAGAGTTGATGTTGTTAAGAGTATAAGGTGTTGACAGAGTTGATGTTGTTAAGAGTATTAGGTGTTGACAGATATGATGTTGTTAAGAGTATAAGGTGTTGACAGAGTTGATGATGTTAAGAGTATAAGGTGTTGACAGAGTTGATGTTAAGAGTATAAGGTGTTGACAGAGTTGATGTTGTTAAGAGTATAAGGTGTTGACAGATATGATGTTAAGAGTATAAGGTGTTGACAGAGTTGATGTTGTTAAGAGTATTAGGCGTTGACAGAGTTGATGTTGTTAAGAGTATAAGGTGTTGACAGAGTTGATGTTGTTAAGAGTATAAGGTGTTGACAGGGTTGATGTTGTTAAGAGTATAAGGTGTTGACAGAGTTGATGTTGTTAAGAGTATAAGGTGTTGACAGAGTTGATGTTGTTAAGAGTATTAGGTGTTGACAGATATGATGTTGTTAAGAGTATAAGGTGTTGACAGAGTTGATGTTGTTAAGAGTATATAATCCACTGTTAGAAAATTCAGTATTTTTTACATGTTTCTTCTGTATTTCCGACCAGGAAACCGTATAAATTTGAATTACATTTTTTTTCTGTAAAATATTTCAGACACACTCTTTCTCTGTTTCAATTTGTATAATTATCAATATGAACTGACATTTTATCATACTATATACACTTCATGATGCAAAGAACATTTATAATTACATGTTAATGCTGTTATTTCTATATGTAATTACTGAATATGCGGTTGGCGGTTGTTTGTGCTTCACGGTCGTCGTATGTCCGTGTTTGTTTACATTATTCCAAAGAGCGCCACATCATCACATGGGGGCGCTGGTGGAGTGGTACCGCTCTTGCCTCGCAAGCAAGATGTCACAGGTTCGATTCCCAGGCCGGCGGAAGTTGTTTGGACACTCTTCCTAGTCCCCTTGGTCCCTGTTCACCTAGCAGCAAAGTAGGTACCTGCTGTAAATCGAAAGTTGCAAATTCGTGTTCAGGGATAAGTTGTTGGAGCTTCCAATAACTTCCAACAATCTGTTAATTCAACAGATATTTTATGTAAAAATATATACAGGATCTCTCTAAATTATACAGAAAATGTTTTGCAATAATATAACCAGTGAATTCTCTGTAAATTTTACAAGACTTTTTTAACAGTGTTGGCAGAGCTCATATTGGCAGATTTACTGTTGTTAAGAGTAGGTGTGAGTAAAGCTGATGTAGTTAAGAGTAGATGTTGGCAGAATAGGTGTTGTTAAGAAGTAATATTGGCAGAACAATTTTTTTTCCAGCAGGTCATGCGACATTTTTGGGGGAAAGAGAAAATTAACGTGTTTATATAGTAAAGATAATCTATATTATTAAAAACAAATATATAAAGGTGATTTAAAACTTACGAGCATAGTATAACTGCCTTTAAATATGCTAATTACCTTGACTCTTCAATTATTTCAAAGATCATTAATTAACACTACTCAGAACCTCAATTAGAATGTAAAGTAGTACCTTTGTATGAAATCTGAACCAAATTTATTTTACGACCCTAGTGTCACAACGGAAGGTTAAGTGAGAGCAGGAGAAGGGGAGGAATCTCTGATATATAAACATTCGATAGTGACAACCACCACTCAAACAGATTATCACCTGGGACCAAATTCTATTCAGATAACTTGCGATAACCACGACTTTAATCACTGTCTTGAGGGTTAGGAGGAGTGAGACCCTGATAGAAGAGACGTCCCCGGCTTTACACTATCTACACCACCAGTATATACACCCAGTTACCACCTGATCACGTTCAACGTTTTAGTACCCGCCTGCAGAAGAGGGTAATCACATAGGAAGATCGCAACACTATACTGACGGAGAGATGAAGTGGGCAGCAGCGATTATGGCGGTGACGGCCGCTCTAACTATGCACCAGGTATAATTTATCCCTGTTTTTGTTCGTAGATAATGCCACTGGAGTGCTTTGTTATGCCTCTTAAGGGGGTTTTAACGTTCTGAGTGCCAGAACCCCTGTGCATGCTAGGTAGTTATGCCTCGGTTCCCAGTGTTATAAAACAAATACTCTTGAACATGCTTGTAAAATGGGTATAAGGCTTCAAATATACCTTAGTTACTGGGTATAAGGCTTCAAGTATACCTTAGTTACTAGGAATAAGGCTTCAAATATACCTTAGTTACTGTATATAAGGCTTCAAGTATACCTTAGTTACTGGGTATAAGGCTTCAAGTATACTTTAGTTACTGGGTATAAGGCTTCAAGTATACCTTAGTTACTGGGTATAAGGCTTCAAGTATACCTTAGTTACTGGATTAAGGCTTCAAGTATACCTTAGTTACTGGGTATAAGGCTTCAAGTATACCTTAGTTATTGGGTATAAGGCTTCAAGTATACCTTAGTTACTGGGTATAAGACTTGAAATATACCTTAGTTACTGGGTATAAGGCTTCAAGTATACCTTAGTTACTGGGTATAAGGCTTCAAGTATACCTTAGTTACTGGGTATAAGGCTTCAAGTACACCTTAGTTATGGGGATAAGGCTTCAAGTATACCTTAGTTACTGGGTATAAGGTTTCACATATACCTTAGTTACTAGGTATAAGGCTTCACGTATACCTTAGTTACTGGGTATAAGGCTTCAAGTATACTTTAGTTACTAGATATAAAGCTTCAAATATACCTTAGTTACTGGGTATAAGGCTTCAAGTATACCTTAGTTACTGGGTATAAGACTTCAAGTATACCTTAGTTACTGGGTATAAGGCTTCAAGTATACCTTAGTTACTTTGCAAATGGCTTCAAGTATATCTTAGTTACTGGGTATAAGACTTCAAGTATACCTTAGTTACTGGGTATAAGGCTTCAAGTATACCTTAGTTACTGGGTATAAGGCTTCAAGTATACCTTAGTTACTGGGTATATGACTTCAAGTATACCTTAGTTACTGGGTATAAGGCTTCAATTTTACCTAAGTTACTGGGTCTGTACACCAAAATGCGGGCCTCTCTTCCACAATCCCCATCTCACCTCCTTTCCTCTCCTGTACAATCCCCATCTAATCTCCTTCCCCCTCCTCCACAATCACCATCTAATCTCCTTCCCTCTCTTCCACAATCCCCATGTCACCTCCGTCCCTCTCCTCCACAATCCCCAACTCACCATCTTCCTCCTCCCACAGGTGTCAGGGATGCCCTTGACTGCCGACTCACTGATCGACACAATTCGTGAGGGCTTCTCCGTGCTCGACACTCGGAGGGACTTGTGGTCTGAAAACTACTCTTCCCTGAGGAACATGACCACCGAGAACAAGATGAAGCTTAAGGAACTTCTCTTCGTCAGCAAGTTAGTGGAAGTTAAGAAGTTAGCAGAAACACGTAGCTTATAGGGCTTGATTTGCTGTGGTTGCCAGATCGTTTTAGCAGAAGTTTAGGAGTTGGTGGTAATTGTCACTTAAATAATGAGATGAGGAATCTTTACTTTGGGTATCTACTGTAGGGGTAAATAACTGGTAAGGTGAATGCCCAACATGTAAGAGAGTTGTTGTTAGAGGGATGTGATGAATGATACTCTGTACTTGTGAGGAACGAAAGAAGTGGGTGATGATGATGATGATAATGATAATGGAGTTCTAGTGAGAAGAAAATATATACTGTAGAATAAGGATTGCCTGATAAGAGTCTTGAGGGAGGTAAGATAATGAATTGTATTTCATTAAAAGACCATGGGAATGGCAGTAATGAGGAAAGGGTGAAGACATTTACTGATGTGAATGGGAGTTAAAGACGAACCGACAGATTGAATGTTGATGAGGTGAATGCATGTAGATTATGTTTCATCATTTCTTTAATTGTGATGTGTATGACTTTGGAGCGCCAACCTACTGTGAGGGTAAACATGGCCATTGTAAAGGCTAATAAAAAGAACTAGGGAGTAGATAAGCCCAAAAGAGAAAACTGTGTTATTTGGACACATTGTTTGTCGTGTTAGAAATTTATGGCGATTCCAAGAGATATTCATTGGACACAGAAAGACCAAGGAGAGAGAGATATTCTCCCATATTCTGCGTGACCGCTCGTTTTCGTATAAACCAACAGTAATACTTTTATCCTCTTCACCACTGATCGGCTCGTTATCCGCTTGAGCGAACGGTAACTTCTCTGTTACGCAATGTTGGCAAGTACTGGGCATGCACCGGCTCCTGAATGTACCTAAACCTGCTCCAGTGTTGGTCAATTCTGGTCTTGAAAGAGCTCACACTCAGTGCCGACACAACACTTTCTGGTAGATTGTTCCAAGAGTTCACAACTATCACTCCGAAAAAGTTACCCCCCTCACAGTTTTCTAGACCTGCGGCTTCTTCAATCTTGAGCTGTGACCCTGTGTGGGGCGAGCGTCCGCCAGCTTCAAATAAGGACACTCGACTGAGTAGTGCCTAGTTTGTTTGGGAAAACCCGAGAAAAGAGTTCATATTCTCAACTGTTCAACTATGCTGTACCTTCTTCAGAAACAAATATAGTTCAGGTTTGTTTTGGGTTTCATTAGAAACAAGGCTGCCAACATGGTCATATAACTAATGGAACATAACAAAACGTATTTCATATTTGTTTGAAATGTATAACTCGATTATCTCTCTCAGGCGATTATTACTGATTATTATATAAAAAAACACTGAAACAATTATCTAATAAGAGGTATCAGTGATTTGTTATAAATCTGTGTGTGTGTATATATATATACAGGTATATGTATAATCAACGACCTCACCAGCCATGACTCGAACCCTCGACCTAATGCATGGGACCAGGGAACACTACCGACCATACCACAAGAGCACTAAAAGCAGTTCTAGACTATGTGATATTTCACACAAAGCCTGTTCATCGAGCTGATGGCGCCATGAACCTTTCATTGGGAACTGCCCGTGCTGCTTATGTGGATGTCAGTAGCCTTTTACCGAATTCAGCTGGTATGAAACACGAGGTACCATGTATACTTATATGTTCAAAGTCCGCGTGTTATATGGACTAAAAATGAAGTGTGTGTATATATATATATATATATATATATATATATATATATATATATATATATATATATATATATATATATATATATATATATATATATATATATATATATATATATATATATATATATATATATATATATATATATATATATATATATATATATATATATATATATATATATATATATATATATATATATATATATATATATATGTGTGTGATTTTCAGCAAAATCTAATATTTGGCCTAAAACCACCAAAAATGTAATTCTTCCACCTTACAATTTTTTTTACCAAAACATACTTTTTTCTCAGAATTGAAATTTAAGGGGTTTAAATAATTAAGTATTTTCAGAATAACACACAAACCCTAAATCACACCTTGGAAACCCATAGTTGATGTGTAATTAGCCTTGAAAAATGTCAGTAAAATATTTCAAGGTCATTTTGGCCACTAATTACTCTGCAATCGAATCGTTGACCACATATTCATAATCAGCAAGCTCAGGAGTACTCATACTGTGATTTTCAGCAAAATCTAATATTTGGCCTAAAACCACCAAAAATGTAATTCTTCCACCTTACAATTTTTTTTACCAAAACATACTTTTTTCTCAGAATTGAAATTTAAGGGGTTTAACTAATTAAGTACTTTCAGAATAACACACAACCCCTAAATCACACCTTGGATACCCATAGTTGATGAGTAATTAGCATTGAAAAATGCTGGACCACATATATTTATAATCACGATTCGATTGCAGAGTAATTAGTGGCCAAAATGACCCTTGAAATATTTTAATGACATTTTTCAATGCTAATTACTCAACTATGGGTTTCCAAGGTGTGATTTAGGGTTTGCGTGTTATTCTGAAAGTACTTAATTGGTTAAACCCCTTAAATTTCAATTCTGAGAAATTAATATTTTGGTCAAAAATATACCAGCACTTCTCCAACTCTTAAAGTCAGGTACCCATTCACAGCTGGGTGGACTGGGGGTGCCCCAAGTTTAAACCAACAATCCCTAAAATATGACATTAGTACTAAACCCGCATGGTTGCCAAACCCCATTTCATATTTTAATACCTGTATGTTCAAAGATTCACTGAGAATGTTTTGCATGTATGAAGGAGCTGTACAGGTGTATGTAAAAGTATTGTATGTGTGTGTGTTTAAATTTTATCAAATAGGTCACTAAATCCTCACTGCTGAAAATTTACAAATATTCTTTGCCATTTCTTACTTATAGTACAGCATAACTTTTAAGGCATCTTACTGTAGGGTAGTAACAGCTGCATACCTCATCCACATGCAGGTTGGCCTTACCCTTTGTCTGGCAACTGTACAAAACCCAGATCCAGGACCTTAAGGATTTCCTGCAAAAATCTCCTCAAGTGAACCAAGTCCTGCCCTACTCTACATCTGTATCAGGTTACAATGCTAGCGGTACTTACTTCCATGCAGAGTTGATGCTCTTACTTAACCGTTACCACAAGTAAGTTGTACATTTAAGTTTAGGGAGTTGGCACAATGCTCTTTTTGATGCATATGGTATGTGTGAGAAAATGATGTTTAATGTATTTATAATCCTAACAATAACACATTAAGGGGTCACATTAGGAGTTGAGTGTTGCTATGGTACTGGTTTTAGAACCTACTATACAGTATGCAGTCTTCCCAGGACTCTGCTGGGTCACAGCACTGTATTGAACTCTGGCTCTTTGGTTGGAGATGGTGAGTGTATAGTACAGTATACTGAGAATACTATACTTAGTACTTATCAAATATGTTATTTATATCCCAGAAAATGTTCAGTTTAAGTTAAGAGAAGTCGGTAATAGGCATGACCTAATCTTCTCAAGGAATGTCCTAAATTTCCATAATATCTGAAGTAAACTTAAGTTACTAGTACGTACCAAAAGTAAACTTATTTTAAAAATTATAGTTCTGTTTATACACATACCTTTATACACATACCAGATAACTTTAGTTTTCATTAAACTCAAACTCATTTACCAGTACAGCACTGTGTCATAAGTAAACTCTAAGTACATAATTCATTTTAAAGGCTACAGTTCTGCTAAACTTCAGCAAAATTTAATAAAGTTTACTTCATTCTGGTATTAATTAACCTTTGATAAATACATTTCAGTACTCAGTAATCTCTTGCTAAACTTCAGTTGGTGGAGTTCTTTTTTTGTACAGTATTTCTGTGCTTCAACAAGTAAACTGTTTAAGCACAAACACAACAGTCAGTTCAGACAGTTATCATTAAAATGCTGAGAGAGATGTATTTCACAGTTTGTTTCTTGTTGCTTCATTGTATGCCTGTATCTGTGCTTCAACAAATTAATAATACTGTAATAATAATACAGTAATAAAAATTCATGGTTTATTGAAAGAGCATGGCAGCCAGAAGACTGAAAATATACTGTAACATAATTGGGAATGGATCGCTTGATTGGCAATTAATATACAAGTAACATAAGTCATAAGTGATACAAATATGATAATTATAATAACAAGGTGGGGAGGTCATACTACAGGGCATTTCAACATCGTAACAGTGCAAAAAAATAAGAATGGCAGGGAGTGAACACACTGGTTGACTGCGAGTTGTTGATAATTTTTACAATGGTTGGGACTGGACTGTTCTTATAGCAATCATTACATGCTCATATGGGCTGGATGCGGTTATGATGTCGAACAGCAATTCACAGATGAGGGATCTCGGGTAGAAGCAGGAGCCAGTGTTGAGGATGGTGCAGAATCTTCTCCCCAAATTTGCAAATGAGGTCATGATGATGACCAGAGAGAGCCGAGAGGGTCAGTGTGTTGAGTGCTTCTTGATATGTGGAGTAGGAGGAGGAGAGAATAATCTTGCACGCTCTCATCTGCACCTTTTCTAGGTGTTTCCGTTGTGTGGCATTTAGAAGTAAGCACTGAGGAGCTCGGGCACAGGAACTCCAAGGGATTTGAGTCGGCAGAGATGGAGACGAAAACTGGAGGATTTGACAATTGTACTGACTATGTTTTCCAATTTAGTTTGTTAACTTTAGTGATGCCGAGGAGCTTGGTGGAGTCCACAACCTGGAGTGTGTTGAGGCCGAAAGTAATGGTGCAAGGTGGAACAAGGCCAGAGGAGAGGTTGATGTGCATAACCATGGTCTTGGTATGGTTGATGGTGATATGGTTGTTGGTAGTCCAATTTTGGAGACTTCAGTATATTCTGGAGGGCACTGTAATTGAAAGCCAAGTTGTTCACACTGATCCCAATGGTGGAGTCGTTGACATACTTCCAGCGAGCAGAGGTTTCTCTTATGGCATCATTGATAAGCATGAGGAAGCAGAGCGGTCCCTCTTGGTGCCTTGGGGGATGTCACAGGTGAGTGACTGAAAAGTGGAGCCAGCCCCTTGGAAGCATACAGCTTGGTGTTGGTCATTGAGGAAGTCTGTAAGCCATGTTAAAAGACTTCTCCGAAACCCGAGGTCGATAGCTTTGTTGATGATTAAATTGTGGTCGACTAGGTCAAACGCCTTGGTGAGCCTTGACAGCCACAGACATCTTTCGTTTTTCCAGATGGCGGTACAGTATATGTAGTTGAGAAAGCTGACAAAACAGTGAGTGGTGGAAGAAGTTTTCATATTGCCAAATTGCTAAGGATCTATGGTGTAGCATCTTACATGATTTAATGGGAGAATGAGAAGCCACATGCTGATTCTTACTCAGGTCGTTTATTGTTGTTGTGTACCACGTGCCTAACACATTCGTGATTACACAGGCCTGAACACATTCTAACTTTGCTAAGAAGTAACAATATATAATGTATATATAATCAATAAAGGCAGCATATAAACATACACATATATATCATATGGCACCTACAATTTCAGCATAGAATCAGTCAAAAATGAAACTTTTGCAGATTAAGCTGGGTATTGGGGTGATGGCAATGGGTAGTAGTTCATTTAAGGATTGTGGGCTGGTTGACTTGGGCACTGGTGACATACATATTAAGTCTTCCAGTCTGCACACTGAATCACTTCATACACTAGAGTCTAGACTACAGGTAGTAAATATTGTGTACAGCCGTTAAGACAGTGGACTCGTAACACTTGTCTTGCCCGTGGTGTCCACCGTTTCTGTGTGGATGTTGGTCACACTAGAATAACCCGTTATAGTACATCCTTCTTTCCTCACACAGCCAAACTGTGGAAATGCTCTGCCTTCTTCTGTGTTTCCATACTCTTACAATGTCTCGCTTCAAAAAGCTGGTTTTCTGGCATCTTCGTGGTGTAGATTAATACAGTCTTTTTCTCTTCTATTTTTAATTTCTTTTTAGTCTTATTTTTTGCCTCCTAAGCCCCATTAGGGGTCAATGACCTGTGTCCAGGTGGGCTATTCCCCGTAAAATAAAAATATTTAAGTTTCAGGTGCGATAACATTTTCTGATTCTTAATACAGTATTAGTTTTCAGATAGATATCATTCAGGACACAACAAAACACATCTTCCTTCTGGCATTTGACTTCAAAGCAAGGTAATACTCTACTGTATATTCTGTACTGTGTGGGATGGCCTCCTCTTTTAATAAAATCTCTCATTTCCATTTTCATACAAAATTCTCATTCTGACTTTTCAATGCCCCTTATTTCAGGTTGTTGCTCTATGCAAATGTTATTATTAAGCATATACAAGATGTTAGTATAGATACTGATGGTGAAATCACAAATTCTAATGTAATGTACTGTACTGTACAGTACAGTACTGTACAGTATATGTAATCTTTTAATGACTACTGTACTATTAAACCTTCTTACAAATATAATTACTGTAATACAGTACCAGTACTCTTCTGTTCTGTCTATACAGTATTCCTTTTATCTGAAATTGTAATGCCTACTGAATGTCGCTATAATCTCAGCTACTGTATACTGTAGCTGTTTTAAGTTATACACAAGACTGCGCATATCTAAAGTACAAGCATTAAGATGGACGGTCATAAAAGAGGTTACACACTTGTAAATGTTGACTGAGAAGAACAAGTAACAGAAAGATGTGTGATGCTATAATGGGAGGTGATATTTAAATGGACTACTGTATACAAAACTGGGCAGATTATTAGCATCTGTATTGTGTTTAAAAAATACTCACATAGGAGGAAGTGGACTGGGTGAACTAATAAAGTACTGTATTTAACTCACTCAGCCCTAAACCTTAATTATCAGATATGCTTCTTCTTATTCTCCATCTTTCCATGAATCTCAGTGTTGTTGGCATCTTTAGAAATTTGCTTTTAATGTTTTGCTCGAGACGATTATGGAAGGAACAGTGTGGAAAATGCTATAATAGGGATCAAAAGAAACTAGCTACATTTCCTTTAGTATTTCATCCTAAAATCTGACTTTCTCTGCGTTTTCCATTATCCAGGCGTGCGGTACTTGGTAACAAGAACACTGATGGGGAAGTCAATGAGCGTGTAGAACTGGAAGGTGACCAGTTCCCTGCCATCAACCTACATGAGCCCTTTAGAGTAAGTCACTGTCTTTCTATTGTGACATTGGTGCTGCCTAACACATGTAAACTCACTTCATTATCCTGCAATACATTATTGTTCCTTTCCTTTTGTCCATCTAATATTGTTTCTGTCCTCAGTGATGAATTCTCTACCTCACCCCACCTGTCCTCCTACACTGGCTTTAACATCCTGGCAGCTGTGATAGATTTCCTCTTTCTCACTGGTACAGATACTCCCATCTTCGTACGCTGATATTATATGCTTATGGACATCAGGCATCCAATTTTATGTACAATATACAAGAGCCATGGTTAAGAGATGAAACACTGCACCTAAATGAAAGTTTAGTCACTGTATTGTAAATGTAGCAAATATGTAACATTATTTGTGGATGTTCTGTAAATTAATGCTGCATACTGTACTGTACAGTTTATTGTAATATTAGAATTCAAGTACTGTACACTAAACTCTTGCCAATATAATTTTGTCATGGGTTTTGGGTCGATCAAATTAGCCCATTATATATATATAATTACCCCAACATAATGAAATTACAGGGTACAGGGTACCTCAAAAAAAAAAAAAAAAAAACAGAAACCAGAAAACACAGTAAAAGGTAAGCAATTTTGAAAAGGATATAATAGAATAATAAAAACATCTAAGGCCACCTCATATACACAGTATAGTATAATTGTATGTATACACAAGTATCCCTTCTTACTTATGAGGGATAGGTTCCAGAAACCCACTGAGGCTCTTATTCAGGAAATCCTTGGATCAAGGTAAAGCACCTAGGGACTGGAAATCAGCCAACACCACCCCAAAACACAAGAAGGGTAGAAAAGGTGCAGCAGAAAACTACAGGCCGATCAACGTAATATCCTTAACCTACACATTAAATAGCCAACTTCAATAAAAGCCTAAAGAAGCATATGAAATACTATTGGCAGGTGTATGCATAATATCCATCTTTCAGTCATTCGTCAACTGACCATCTACAGGTACTACCATGGTCCAGTGTGGTCCATACCATCAGCTAGTCACCACCACCATGGACAACCCCATCAGCTAGTCACCACCACCATGTACAACCCCATCAGCTAGCCACCACCCCATCAGCTACATTTTTATTACTCTTATGACAATGATACAATACAATATGCATGTATGGTAAAAACTAAGAATGAGTCATATAATTATGCAAGTTGTGGTAATGAAGGATAAACTGTACTGAGAAGATTCACCATCGTGTTTTCCCTTTCATCATGGCTATTCATCAACTGTTGGTTCTTCACAATGCTCATGTCATTTAATAGTGTCTAATTTCACTATAAAAGGACATTTTTTCACTGTTTCTTAATACTGTACAATACATGTTGTGCTCAGCAGAGGACAGGTGGGTCTTCTTCGTGTTTTCCTTTTTTGCACTCATTATGCAGTGTCTTGATACATCTATAAGCGTCTAGTGAGTATATGCATTATTTTATTTTTTATCATACATATTAAAGTATCTTAATACGTGTACAGGTATACGAAAAACATTTGTAGTCTTTGAGAACTTTCAATATTTCACTAAACACAACCATATTGTATGAAGACAATTTTAGACAGGTGGTAGATTATATCATTGTAATTCATTGTAACTGTGTCCTTCACGTCTCATTATAATTGTAATTTTAAGTACAGTATATTCATTTACACTAATTTTTATTATCATGTAGTACACACTATTATGCTACTGTATTCAGTTAATTTTTTTAACTGTTTATTTAATTATTTTGTGATATTATGGTGATAATCATGTAAAATGATACCTGTATCGCTGTTCACCGGAACAATCGGTGCAGAAAACTTCCAGGAATGAGAGATTTCCAGTTAACGAGACGACTCTCTCAAAGCTGGAAAAAATTCCTCACCCCCCGCAATTTTCCAGGTACAGTACTCCCTCTTTATCGACGGATTTTTTATCGACGGTTTCGATTATCGACGGATTATTTAGCCGGATTTTTATTTTGGCTTTATTTGAACTCTGCGGGCCTTATTTGTACTTTCGCCACTAGGCGGCACTAGTGGCGTGACTAGCGTCTACCCGCGGCCCGCCTTCCCTGAACACAAACATCAGCCAAGCCGCGTGGGCAACAGTCTTTGATTTTCAACTTTTGCTGGTGGTTCATCACATCAACTTATATCACCATGCCTCCCAAACGACCTGCTGCTCCCTCTGGATCTACACCTAAGAGGGCAAGACGAGTGCTGACGCTGAATGAGAAGAATGAAGTGCTGAAACAACTCGACAGCGGTATGAGCTATGCAGCTGTTGGCCGCCACTTTGGGCTCAACGAATCCAGTGTGCGTGGAATTAAACAACGTGCAAAGGATCTGAAGCACGCTTTAGCTTCAAGTGCACCAGTGACATCAAAAGTGACAAGCCATGTGCGTGATGATGCCCTCATTAAAATGGAAAAAGCACTGAACATTTGGATAGAGGACCTAAACCGCCGCCGCATACCACTTGACTCGAAATTTATTAGGCAGAAAGCTAAGGAACTTTATGATAAATTTTCTAAAGGTGATGATCATGGTGTTGGTGATGGTGATGGTGATGATCAGGGTGATGGTGATAATCAGGGTGATGGTGATAATCAGGGCGATGGTGACAATTTGAAAAAATTTGCAGCTAGCAAAGGATGGTTCGAGAAATTCAGACATCGTTATGGGCTGCATAATATAAAAGTGACTGGCGAAGCAGCATCAGCAGACACTGTGGCAGGGGAAGCATACCCTGCAGAGTTTGCTAACCACATAGCACAAAAGGGTTATAGGCCGGAACAAGTTTTTAATGCTGATGAGACAGGCCTATGGTGGAAGAAGATGCCACGCCGAACCTACATCTCTAAAGAGGAAAAAAGTGCCCCTGGATTTAAAGTTGCGAAGGACCGAGTGACAGTGATGCTATGTGGGAATGCGGCAGGGCATATGATTAAGCCCATGTTGTTATACACTGCCGCACGACCTCGGGCTCTCAAAAATAAAAACATGAACTTGCTACCAGTTTTCTACAGGAACAACAAGAAAGCGTGGATGACATCTTATTTGTGCGTGGATTGGCTGAAAAACTGCTTTGCTAGAGAGGTGAAAAATTATCTGGATGAACTTGGCATGGAGTTCAAAGTGGTATTATATCTAGATAATTGCCCTGGCCACTCTGAAGAACTCAAGACTACCCACCCCAACATTGAGGTGGTTTTCCTGCCAAAAAACACCACCTCCATCATCCAGCCAATGGACCAGGGAGTCATTGTCGTGTTTAAGGCTAAATATGCAGAGAAGACTTTCAGCATGATTCGTGAGTGCCTTGATAAGGATGCTGATGTGACACCCAGAGAAATGTGAAAGAAATTTGATATTGCACAGTGCATAAACTTCATCGCTGAAAGCCACAATGAACTGTCGCAGAACTGTGTCCGATCATGTTGGAAAAAATTGTGGCCTGAAATTGTCCCAACATTCACAGGGTTCCCAACAGCCGAGCCTCAGTTACGCAACATAATAACTATGGCAAATGAAGTTGGAGGTGAAGGGTTCTCTGACCTAACAGCGGCAGAGGTGCAAGAAGAGTTATTGGGAAATGTTGGGGATCCATTTACAAGTGATGAACTAGAACAATTAGTGGAGCTGCAGGATGAAACAGAAGATGAAGTGAGTGATGATGAAAATAAGAACTTAACTTTAGATAATCTTGGTGAAGTAATAAGAATGAGTAAGGCCCTCTCTGCTCGTCTCTATGACATTGATCCCTCCCTTGATAGGTCCCTTAAAGCAAAGAGAGCTATTGAAAATGTTATGTTGCCATATATAGAACTGCAGAGGGAAATGAGAAGCAAGAAAGCACAGACCACCATCACCAACTTCTTCAGTCGCCGAGTGCTTGCCATCGCCGAACCTGCCGACACCTCACAACAACAAGACGTAGAAGCTGCCGGCACCTCACAACAACAAGACGCAGTACCTGCCCACACCCCTCAAGAAGATGCAGACCTTGACTAATCATACTCATCTGACCGGTCAGGCTTTTAATAAGCCTCAATCATCACACTTGTATATACTGTATACTGTATTGTTTACTGTAAGGACCGATGTTCACTTCAATAAATGAAATCGTAAGTTTGCTAGTATTTTTGTCCACTTATTATATTATTATTTATACACTATTATTTAAGGTTATGTGTAAAGGAAACGCATTAATGCTTAAAGGTACATTTATTCAACATATGCTAATAATAGTTAGAAAAATTACGTAACCATCACGGTATCGACGGTTTCTTTATCGACGGCCGTTTACAGAACGTAACCCCCGTCGATAAAGAGGGAGTACTGTAATGGGAAAAATATTTTCGGAAGTTCCAGAAATTTTGCATTTCATCATCTCTCAAACCTGGAAAAAACTCACCCATTTCCAGAATTTTCATGGTACTGTAGTGGGAAAATTTTCTTGGAATTTTCCAGAAAATGTGCCCCTCGGAAAATTGTTCCCAAAGCCGGAATTTTCCAGGAGATAATGCTGAACTTCATGTTATTCTAATGGATTTTTAAGTGTTACTGTAGAATATTTTCTTTTAGGAGGCAAGACTGCAAAAATGACCAAAATTGTTTGAGGAAACAAATTGTATCTTATGAAATCTATCAAATTAGCTCAAAATATTGAATTAGTGAGGGTTCAGTGTACATTCATATCTTTTGATATTACCTTTTAACCTCCTTCCTGTTAGAGGCCTTAAAGGGTTTCTCACATAATATATAACAGTAGTTAAGACGAAGACTATGAGCAAGACATTTTGTAAGCTTAGCCTTTATAGATCATTAAAGGTTAGTGCCCCCCCCCCCCACCACACACACACATAATTTTTTAGTGGTTAAACTTAAGGATGGCTAAGCTGGGGTAGGGGTAATCTTTAGGTGATCCATAAAGGCTACAATTTTGAAAGGTCTCGGACATGGTCTCAACTACATGACATCACTTATAAAGATTTTACATTTGTTCTCTCCATCATACCTTTCTTTTACAGTACTTATACTGTAGTCCTTTTTTTTTAGCTGATGGTAATAGACTAAGAAATTCTTTTTAAGCCTACTTTTTTAAATACAAGACTCATTATTGTGAGTTCATATTACTTATAGGTGAATATACAAGTAGATGATGACTGCATCTTTACTACAATCTGGCTGAAGAACTTCGACATGGATATACCAATGCCACTGCCAGTCAAACATCACTGGTGCTCAAAGGTTAGTCCATGTAGTTAGGTATCACCTAGGGAAACTCACTTCTTCTCTGTTCATTAGTGATGGCAATGGTAGAAACTCTTCCTATCATTTTAATGTATATTTTATACCAAAATATCTCTAACCCCTTCACAATGATGAGGCCACTTTTATTATTTTATTTGACTAATGCCAGGTGATTTTATTCAGCTTAATGGTGAACCTGTACACAGCGGGTTAAAGGAAGAAAGCTTTTCTTGGAAATACAGTACAAGCTTCCAACCTTTGTTCACTACAAAATCTGACAATCCCAAAATTTGATCCTTGTTGTAAAATCACCAAGTTACCCGGTAACGTTCACAAAAGAACTAAGTTATAATAAAGATTGTTGCAAGAGACTGCATTTATTTTTACTATGGTTCTATATTACTCAAGGACGACCATAAGTAAATGCTTTGTGTCATTTCATTTTACATTTTGGTAAAGTCAGTACAGTACAGTATTTCATTTGCTGAGGCAACCTACAAATTTATATCTTTTTCTTGTACAGGATTATTACCAAGTACAGAATACTGTTGTCAGAGTTGATTATGAACATGAATCCCCGAGCTCTGCAGTGTCTGAAGAATCCCAAGATAATGGTAACCATGATGAGGCAGATGACCATGATGAGGTGGATGACCATGATGAGGCGGAGGACCATGGTGAGGTGGATGACCATGAGGAGGTGGAGGACCATGGTGAGGTGGAGGACCATGGTCAGGTGGATGACCATCATGATATTCATCTCATTGCTGCAACCATCTATGAAGGCATTATCATGATATAGCCTTTTACAATGTCTTGGTAAGGTAACATAGCCAGTGTTTGCCATACCTGTTCACTAGATTTCATCAATTAGCTTTGTAACATAATTATGTTGAGACAGCAGTGTTAGACTCGTAAACTGTTGATGAAGAGAACAAAATAAACACATTTCAAGTTCCACACAGTGTATAAATGTCCCATGTCCTATGATGTTGCTTTCAACTATCTTAAATTTTGTACGAGTTTTATTTATTTATTTTTTTTTTTTACTAAATGATGGGCTAAATCCATCCTTAAATACTACCTTCAAAATGAACAACAAAACATCATATCTATTTTTATTTTGAGTTATTCATCAATAGGAAGGTGGATAATCTATGATTACCTCATGGAGAAGTGACCTTGCCTTGCTGGAAAAGAGGGTGCTCTTATGTCCTACATGTTGTCTAAGAAACAAGTATCTTCCTGAGTTTGGGCAAATACATTGCGGAAAAGTAGACTCATCCAACGCATGTATCTGTGTGTACGTTACTTTGTAAACAGTTGGCAGGCCTGTGGAACCTTGCAAAGGGGGAGGCAGTTACAGCACTGATTCACATAATTGCTTTCTCCGATGATCATTCATTATTGGGTATACGTGTTTGTATAGTATTCCACAACTAAAATAGAAAGTCAGCTATTTCAAACCATCATTTGTTGAACATCTCGAAACTTGTATCTAGTCAGGTGTATCAGATGAGCAGATGTAGCCACGGTTACACTTTTAGAATAATCTGCCAGGTTTCAATATTCATCAGCCAAAACTGGGAAGATACTTGTTTCTTAGACCATCTAGTAATGTGCAGTTTCCCACTCTAGTAATGGGTTGGTTATGAGAAGGGCATTGCTGCACTTGATGGAATACACAAAACTAATGCTGACATGCTGCTGCTGACATTGGAGGTAATGTAGCTAAATTGTATCTGGCAGCACTTCTTCTTTAGCTATTGTTCATAGATACATATGGTATTTCTTTACAGTGAGACTGTCAACTGGTTTTGCTCCATACTTGGCAAGAAGAAATGCTTTACCGGCCATAGCTAAGTCATGTGCAGGATACCGGGGGTTGTTGAAGACTTGCATCTGAATGCGTAATACAGGATCATCTTGAAGTTTTTTAAATGGGAGCTTCTTTCCTCTGTAATGCAGAGCGGGTGTTGTATCACAGCCGATAAGCGCATGCAGAAACAACAAGCTGTTATCCATTTCACACATAGCAATCTGTAATCTTTTGGTTCTATAAACCTTAAAGCTTTGTTTGCAGGCGTCAGCATCGTAGTATCTATAACAGGGTTTGCAAGAGCAATCAAGAGGATGAGAATATCAGTACTAGTACTGATTCAACTCATAAATCTCCTCTCCCTGCTGCTGTAGCTACTACTAGTCTGCCTGGTGAACTTACAACCAGCAGCCTCAAGCTGGGAGGAGAGTAATAAACCTTGTCTTGCTTTTTGTTTCCCAAGAACTCCTGCTGTGACATGGAAACTTGTACAGTATGTGATTTTCTACTACAACATCTCAGGAGGACGGTTTTCCTATACAGTATGACAAAAATGTTCCCCATCCTTTGTGCTAGGAATTCCATGCCCATTGAATACACTGTGAGCATTTCCAAACCCTTCATTGATGTACAGTCACAATCCAAAGTTTCGACACCCCCCTGGCTGGGCGTTAGTCGAGGCCAGGATTGAGGTAAGGCTGGGTGGTTGGACGCAGACATTCCACCACCACAACACTCCGAGACTCACAGCACACGAGAATGGAAGGAAATTTTTACGAATTTTGACATGACATGCACCTGCGTAACAAAATTGAATTCATATCATTGTTGGCACATATACCAATAGCAAGTTAGGAGTGAGGCATGAGAAACTTGGGCTGTTGATGGACTAAATGTATCGCGACACTACTACAGACAAAGATACTGTACCATGGTTAATGTGAATTGCAATTGCAACATTCCAAGTCAAAATACTCCAATGTAGTTACTGATACACCATTAAATATTGTAAACATGACAATATGAATTCCTAGTATGTGTGAAACCATAATATTCCCAGGGTTATGGTAATATCTATACTGTACATGTATAAGCCTCACCTTGTCGACTGACCGCTCACTCCTTGACGAAATTCGACCGCCGGCCACCCTTTATATATGCTGCCTTGATTCATGTATAATATGAGGACTCACATCTAGTGGTTCCAAACCAGTGTTTTGGGACCAGGCAAAGTTTTTCATGCTCCAATCTTAACATGTTATTGTTATGTGTAGCAACAATGCATTTGCATGCATTTGTTATGCAAGTTCATACCGTGTCAAAGTTCGTAATAAGTTCCTTCCTGTGCTCGTGCACTATGAGTCTCGGACTGTTGTGGTGGTGGAATGTGAACCTCACCATCGTAGTGCCTCGTTACCACATTGCTGAACTAGTCTGCGTCCCATCACCCAGCCTTAACTCAACCCTGGCCTCTGCAAACACCCAGCCAGGGGGGAGGGGGGTGTTGAAACTTTGGTTTGTGACTACAATGTGTACTGGGTGCATATCTGACTATATGATGCCAGACACTGCCACATAACATGGAGAAGAAGGTAGTTACCATCAATGATGTACACTGTTCCAAGGGAAAGAACCACTTCACAGGGCATCCAAGCTTCTTGCACTGGAACAAGGGAAGCTTTGTTTCCTTTTCACAAAGAGCAGTCATCAAAGGGAGCAGGGGGAGGGTGGGCAAACAGCCAGCTCAGATATTAAATTATAGCTTGAGCATTTTGAATAACAAGCTAAAACTTTCAGGCTATGCACAGGTCCCTAAGCTAATATAAAACCATCACTGCCAGTTAGAGACAAAATACAGCTTTTATTATGAGGGTCCGTGGGAAAATGTACTCAAATTTACAAAAAAAATAATATTGACAAAAGGTTTTTCAGGAATGGAGCCCCTTTTGCATAGAGGGAATGCCTGTAATATGAGTTAACGCACTTCAAGTACACCACAATATTAAATCACATTAATCACTACTAACAATATAAAATTTATACAGATCACTTCAAACACTCAGGATATTTATGAAAATAAAAAAATTGGAAGTTTTATTATGCAAAATTACTAAATCACATCTTATAAATATTTTTTTTTTTACTTTAATAAAACTACTGTATACAGATGACAATAGAGAGGAATATTCAGTATTTTAATAATGTCTATAAATCTTAACAGTACAGTACAGTACAGTAAATTTACCAGACTGCACAATAGTATAAAATTTGTTCAAACCTGTTTATACAAAATTCACTACAAATGCCCTTCAAAAATTCTCTTTAACGAAATCCATCATACACTGTACCTAGATTGTCTTGACAAGTGAGCGAGACATGTTTCTCATCCTCACCCAATAAAATTATGGAAACCTGAAACACTGATAAATGTACGGTGCATAATTTTAATTTACCTGTAATTTGTGACAAACTCATGTGAACATTTAATTTACAAAGACCTACAAATAATATATGATAAATACATATTTGTATGACTAACCAATAGGCAGCTTCACACTAGTTTCCCAGCAGATGCTTTCAAGATGAAAGTACAGCCCTAAGGTTTTAAAACTATAATGAATCAAGAAGAGTGTGTAACTCTTAAGACACCAAAAATCATTCATTATGTTAATCTTATATTTAAATTTTATATCAAATTTATCTACAGTGTTGGAGGAGGTGGGGAAAGGAGCAGAAGTTTTGGAAAAAAGTAATACATATTTAGAAAAACTGAAGATTCAGAGTTCCTGTCATACTGGAAGGATCAAGCGAGTAATGAGTCACAAAGCTCAACTGATATTGATAATGCTCTGAATTCCAAGCTCATAAGATAAGAGTCAGACCTGGGAGAAAGTGTGAATCACCTTATGGTGTGTACAGAGCTAAGTCATTCTGTCGTGTCAGTGCCCCTGAATAAGCTAACACCTCTCATCTGGAGGATGCTACCCAATAGCGTTAATAATAAATACAGTAAGGTCCTGCTTAACGTGGAGATGTGTTCCAGAAAAGGTGGTTTTTAGGTCTCACAGATGAGTATCTACCTAGCTCACAGTGCATTGTGGATGTGTTGTCAGCCCACAAGATAACTGAACAGAAGTAGGAAACACGGCAACATTATTATGACAACAGTTTAGTGCATATAGTAGTTTGAAGACTAGAGCTGTTTAAGGGTAGTTATACTAAATTAATTCTTTGGTATTTTCACTAAAAACTCACCAAGTGCTGTAATTATAATGATCCTGCAGGTATTAGCTAATGTAAACTACAGCTAGACCCCGACTTACGACAGGGTTAGGGACCCAAATCCAGGTCGTAAGTCCGAATGGTCGTAAATCCGACAAATAAAAAAAATAAAAAAAAAATTAATAAAAAATCTACAATGAAATACAGTACAGTAAAAGTAATAAATAATGAGGAATGGATACAGTACAGTTAAAGTAATAAATAATGAGGAAAGGATACAGTGTGACTGAGCACTTACCTTTAATGTAGTCAGCTGAATGCACATGGGGCCCCCATAATTTTCTAATTATACATGGAGACTACATTAACTGGAAACGTTTCGGTATAGAAAATGCATGCGTCATTTGAAGAAGAAGAAAAAAAAATGGTCACAACTGCGGCAGTCGTAAGTCGGGGTCTAGCTGTATTGGAAAAATTTTCCTTACTCATAAATTTGATATGAAAACAGAATGCAACAGTATTTTTTTGTCTTCTCTATTTCCCTATGTTAATTAAAATGGAACTGCAGTGTTGGAAAATAAACAGGCGGGATGAAAAAGTGGAGGCCTGAGTCAGCAGGCAGACATGTACAGCTACGATCGTCTTTACGGCAAAACAGCCTTTGACACAATGCATTCTGTTTTCTTTTGCATTATTGCACTCAGTACCATCACTCTTGCATCGTTTTCAGACATTTTAATGTCAACACACCTGGTTAGAATCAACAATGAATTGTGAGTGAAGAAAGAGAGCTGTAGATGGCATATATGCACTCGTGATGCTGGTCTGTGCTGCACCCAGAAAACAAAAACTGCCATGTAATGCAGTTTCACTGGCTAACAAAACTGGGTTAGCCTGCCACTGACTTCATCTCGATG